CGTGGCTGGGGCACCGACGCAAAAAACACCGATTGCTGGTAGACAAAACACCGTACAAGTTGACTGTCTGGAAGAACACCGATTACTGACGCAATAAACACCAAGCCCGGAAACTGATCATGGAAACCAGCGAAAAGAAGCTTAGAAATCGGTAGAAGAACTTGGTAGAATGTGTGAAGTACTTCATGTTGCACCTAACCTAGTCATTTTGGCGTCCCCAACCCCCGACCCAATAGGTCAGGAACCACGGTCTACGGTGTCCTTCCGCGCCCGCGCGGTCGTCTTGCACGTCCAGTCCCGTTCTCTCGGCCGAAGGTCGACGGTTCTTGGTGTGTCAGTTGGGTGTCTGGTTCTCGGTGCGACCCAACGGAGTACGACCCAACGGTCGCACGAACGAGACATCGATCTGTCCTGCGATCCTAAGCTCACAAGAACTCACTGCCTCCCACGTCGACTTGGCGCCACATGATTGTGCACGTGAACACGGTGAACCCCTGACACCAATCTTGGCACAAGCGAGTCCCATCTGAATCCCCATGTCACAGAATACATTGGGAACTTTCCCTGCAGAAGACGTCGGCACGAAGAAGAAAAAATGAACATGGAACTTTCAGAGAGTCCCACGTCGATGTCTTCCCAAAAATGGGCCACGTCAGGTGGTTGTGAGGTGTAGCGTGCTTCCTACTACTAGAAATGCCCTTTATTCCTAGTAGCGGCCTTGCTCCAAGTAGTAAGGCCAGGAGCGCCCCTATAGTGTTCCGTTCGTAGCTTCAAACACCGTTCCCTTTGTAGCTTCTTGTTACTACTAGCTTCTTGTTACTACTAGTCAGGCCAGGAGCCCCTAGTAGCTTCTTGCTCCTAGTAGCGATGCACTTGTTTCTACTAGCGTTCTTGTTACTACTAGTAAGGCACTTGTTACTAGAAGCGATGCACTTGTTCCTAGTAGCTTCTTGTTCCTACAGGTGAAACGATTCCCAGGTCCGTCCGTTCGTTCTTGGTCTTTTTCCGCCGCCTTGATCGACGGGCACGAGCGCGCCCAGCGAACGAGCGCAGGATGTCTGGGAGACGCTGTCGCGATCGACGCATTGCACCCCGAGGCTTCTGGTACACATGCCCTACGGATCCACGTATATACCTTCTCAGAAGGTACTTGGGCCCTTCAAGCCTACATAAATAGTCTCCAATCACCTTCTGAGAAGGTACTTGGATCCCTAGGGATGCAGAGGCCAGCAAACAAGTTCAACAACAGAATACCAAGCGGTGGCCAAGCTGTTTCGGAACCTGTGGAAACCTTCCGTATACTTACATCATCTTACCGTTCTTCTTTTTTCAACTCAAGTGTCAAATCTGGACTGAAGAAATGTGCAACCGCTTTCTGGCTCGAACGCTGCCATACTTCCTTTCTCTCGCAAGCTGACTCCCTCTCACTCTACCATGTTCACATGAATATATATATATATATAATCAGTATACATACTGAAATTCCGTTCGATTGCCCCTTATCCAGTACCGGACATCCAACAAACATCAACAAACCACAGAGGTGTAGGTGAACCCGTTCTCGCAATCCCTTCATCCTGCTTCCGTTCGCTGGGGCGCCTGGGGCCACTAAGCCGGGCAAATGCTAGTGTCCCAACAACTGGCATGGATCTCACGCGAGTTATCGTCAACCTTGCTTCTCTCGTGCGCATGGGCCGGCAGCTTGGGGCCGCACCTGCTACACGAAAGGACACCTGTTCGAAAGGATCGAAAGGCGAACAAAAAAGACAGCACTACCTTACCTCATCATAAATTTCCCTGTTTCGGCGCTGGATTGAGATCAACATGCACCATCAGATCAAGATTGACAACTGCTGAGAGGAAAACATAACACTGTTGTTGCGAGTCACACGCACACTTGCAGTACGCAATGCATTCAGCTACTTCACGACTTCCTCTCAAAGCCTTCGCAGCTGAAAGACAGCATGTGAGGGATGGCCATCTGCGTCATGTTCAAAGGTCCAAGTTCTCCGCTTTCCTTCACATGGGATGACTGGTGGAATGTATTCGGTCTTTCCCTAATACCTGTAACAGTGGAAGATGATGCTTCAGTTGCAGGCCTTGTCCAAAAATCATGACTTGCTTGTTTACTGACTCTTACAGGTCAGTTCGGACAGAATCAAGGGATGTAACATTCACAGTCTCGGACCATTCCCCAGTGTGGCAAGGCTCCGAAATGTCACTCCGGGAGGGACCCTTATAGCTGGGATTCCAAGCACCACCAGCCAATTCCATAGGCGGGTCATCAGAGCCACAAGCCATAGCTTTACGGCTAGGACACTACAGCACCGGGTCGAATCCATTTTGAACACGGTCTTTGACTCCCAGGAGAGACATAAACAACACATTCCAGGGGCTAATCGCCCGGAACATGAAGTTGACTCGATGTAAAACCTCTCACCCCCACGTTGCAAACAGCGCGTAGGTGAGAGGTCCTTTGCGGCAGACTGCAAAGACTCCACAGAGTAATTCACCCGTGGATGGGATTCTAAACTCTAAAGCCGCTTTTCTCCTGCAGACCGGTGACTTCAACTGCAACTACACGTCGAACTCGCACTCAAAACAGCATGCATGATACCTGGAGATATAACCAGGAGAGTTCAAACCCAAGGACTCAAAAAAGCGGCTTCTGCGCATGGTCGCGCGTCCGCGCGTCCCAGCATGCAAGCCTCGCAAGCACGTCCCACAAGTGTGACCATCGCCAGACGGGCGAGAACGCAGCCAGGCTGCCTCCATATCGGACGTTGAAAGAGACGCTCAAAGGATATCGATGATCAGGTGTATGGTGTCTTTGGACATCTCCCTCTTGACCCTGCGAAAATCGACCAACAAAACCATTCCTTGATGATTCACACGGGCGCTACTGGGTACTGGGTGGAGTTGGAACGAGCAACTTTGGGTGCGTGGATTGGTCCTGTACATCGAGTGTGGAGGATTAATTCCAAGCCCATCATATATTATGGAATATGATGGACCTATTAAGACTTTAAAGGAACCTAATAGCGATGGCCTCCAAGCTAGCGACTTCGGGTGAGTGGATAGGTAATGTACATGGCAAATTATATGCAAACTGATAACCTGTTTGGATGGCAATCAGACTCCGACATCGACAAAGACATAAACCAGGATAAGCACGGGGGAGCCTAATTGTTCCTCGACCCAGTCGACCCATTGATTGAGTTGATTGAGGGTCTTTTCTTATATACCCATATCAGCGTCTCCCACGCTTTGGGTTTGTGGTACACTCATTGACTGAGAACGCATTGACTGAGAACTGAGAACTCTGGCAAGGACAAAAAATCACGCAGACGCGTCGACCAACGGTCTCTGACATCGGAGAGGTCCGGAATGCCAAGGTCGTTGGGCGCTTTACGGACCTACTACTCGACGATATAGACATCGGGTTCTCGCTTTATGATGAATGTTTTCAGGTGTTTTCAGGTGTTCGCAGGGAAATGCAAAGCTTGACCATGCTACGGCGTGGCAAGTAAACTACTGTTAGTGCTCTCTAACATAAATAACATGTGTTGGAAGAGCATCAAAGGTCCCTTGGGCAGTCATTCTGTCAAGAGACTGGCCAGTTTAAGGAACACATAAGAAGACAACCAGTCGTCAACCCCCCTCTGGGAAAAATCCCAAAAGAGTCCAAGAGATGAATCAAGAACAGGATGACAAAAGGATGACAACAACTGAACCCCTCTTTGACTCGCAAATTCCTGCCTCATGCGCGTTCGTTCAAAGGGGCAACAAACACATTGAAACCCTGCAGCATATATCAGCTCTTTTGGTGTGAGCCATTTGTTTGACATGTTTCTACTCTTCGGGCACCCCCCGAAAAAAACCTTGATACTTGGGAAGAGAACAAAGTTCTTCTCAGGAATTGGCTACACGGCAATGCTACACAAAGCCCAGGGGGAAATCAGTCTTCTAAAGGTGAAAGACAAGAATTCCAATGAATGCAAACACAACAGCAGGCAGTCACACTTGCCCTGGGCTGCATGCTGCGCATGCTGGATGCTGCCGAAATTGCCGCATCAGCACTGTTCAAGGGCTGAATTGGAGCGCCAAAGGGCATTGGGGGTTCAATCGTCGAATGGTGGGGAGTTTGAGTAAATAGATGTATTATATAGTCATATAGGCAGTAGGAGGGGGAGCAGGTGATGTCTGCGCACCAGGCAGGTGTGCTGCAAGCTTCTTTTTGACCCTTTCTTCAGAGATCTGAGAAAAAAAAAGAGGCGGCCTGGGCACCTCTGTTGCCTCCACAAAAGCAAACATGAACCGCTGGTTCCCTATGTCGGTATTAGTACAGGATGTTGTTCTGAAAACAGTCACGCAGCTGTTGGGGGAAAGCATGGAAAGCATTGCAGCGTTCCTTCACTGGCCTGTGCGTGTCCATGTTCTCTTTAATCCTTCAACGAGTTTTCAAGAAACGGCAGTGTCACACCCTGTGCTCCTCATCTGGAGCCATTGGATCAACATGAAGAGCTTTGGATTCCACACAATCTGCAGGAAATAACAGTGGTTTGGGGATTTATAGGGTTTGAAACCACTTTCCTGTAGATGTTTGCCGTCACGTGGGTCAGTGAAAGCTGCTTGTTTAAGCAGTCAAGGCGTTTTCCACAAGTCTGTGGGACCAAAGTATATCGTTCTTGCTTCCTTTCTGGCGATCATCAAGTGGCAAGGCCCCTTAATATCTCGATGAAGGACTAAACAGGGTGCATGTCTTCCCGAAGGTGTGAGTTCTTTTAGCCATGAAAATGAAGTGTCAATGACAAAATTGGCTATGGGTCAAAACCCGGACGATAAGAGTTGCGCAAAATCTGTTGTCCAGCTTCAATCATAACTTCTTGGCGAATCAAACGTCTGTCTGCATTTAGATTGTAAAGATTGGGTTTGATGACTCCAGAGCCTGCATGACCATTGTTTATCTTGCAATCTGACATGCATTCCCATGTCTTCACTTAACCCTCCAGCTCCTCCTCACGCCCCACAATCTGCCGGAATTTCCTCGGGTAACGCTCTACCCCCCGCATGAAGCGTCGCACGTGGCGCCCGTTCCGGTCGTGTTCGGGGCGTCCGGGGGGTAGTGCCCGGCCAGGCGGCGCGTGATCACGGGAGGCGTCCCAGGAGCAAAAGACCTCGAGCTGCTCCTGCGGATCAGGGAACCTCGCGGAAACGTCGTGCGAATCGGGAGTCGCGGGGTGTTTGGAGGTGTCTTTTGCTGGTTGGAAACGCCCTCGCGAAGTTGAAGAGAATCTCCTGCAGAGCGGGTTAATTAACGTGCAAATTGCAGGATCTGCAACCTATTTGATGGTCTTTCTGACATGCAGGGTATCCATACTACTCTATTAAATTGGAACTAACGAAGCACCTCACGCACTAAAATCGATCTGCAAATCGACCTGCAAACACGACCGACCCGAATCGATCGAAGAGAGAACTTCCCTCATTGCTAAAGACTGTCTGCCGATTCAGGGGATTGATGTGTCTCTATGTGACATGAACCATGTTGTTTATTCAAAGTTTGTTGAAAGAATGCAACACCTTGGCACACATACTGTCTGGAGGCCTGTGATTGAAAAACTCGGGTGATACATCAAATGAGGTCCTGGTCGAAGTTCACGTGGTCTTTCACCTGACCCGAGTCGGTTTCCCTGCGAGCTATCCCCACCCGACCAGCTTTGTCCGAATATGAACGTCTATTCTGTGGTGTAAACAAGCTGGTTTTGCCATTCTGTGACTCTGTGTGGCATTGTCTCTAGCATGTTGTTGTATTTGCCATGGTGTGTTGTCACGCACTAAATGTATTGTGTGATGTGTCGTGGGTATGTTCTCTGTTACGGTTGCGTGCTTCATTGTCTATCAGTCTATGAGTCTATTGTCTGCTGTCTGTTGTCGTGTTTGTCCTTGCGTATCTTTAAGTATATACTGTCAAGCCTAGCATGTTCATAATTTATAAATCAATTACAATTGATGAACATTGCATGTTTGATGTTGTCATTGTGAGGGTGTCATTGTCTGTTGTCATGTTCGCCATAATATGTTGTCAAGGGTTACATCTGCTGTGGTCTCTTGGCATGTTTGTAACTATGCGTCTCTGCACAGCTTAGCTTCGCAGGTAGCTCTCTCTCTCTCTCTAATTCACATTGTGTATATATAGTTTTTTTGAGGGAATTTCAAAGTCGATAGGACCATGACTTCGGACATGTCTCAACATGTATAACGGCACACTGGCTGTGTCTCAAAAGGGCCTGGCACAAAGGATCTTGAGTCTTCTTCTCGCTCTGCATTGGAGACCATTTTTATCAAGGACAACATTAGTCCAATCCTCATGTCCACAGTTTACAAGGCCTCTTCATGCCAGTGGGCCAGGGTTTGGTGCTATTGACTATTGTTACACCCTGGGCCCTGGAAGAGACACACATGGAGTCTCTTCCAGGGCGTAAGCGATTTGTTCCTAGGAACCCCGGTCAGTGACCGGGTAAAGCCGCCACACACGTAGAACCCACACATCCATCCACCTCCCACACGTCTTTCGTGTCCATTCGTCTGCGTCAGCACCCGTTGCTGCCGTCGTCTCGGTGCCGTCCCGCGACGGAGATCTGAAACAGCACGTTGGAGGAGATGGTGGTGTAGCTCTCCGACGTAGGCGGATCGCACTCCTCTCAGTCTTTCGATTTTGGGGCACCGCTGTGATGTAGCAGCGGGTGTGAATACACTTGGTACTTGAGGTTTACCTCTGTTCTTTCTATTGTTTTTTGACATATATATTTTCTTTAGACTCGTCTTTCTCTCTTTATAGATCTTCGACGCTTCGATGACATTTATAAACCCATTCTTCTTGAGCTCTTCGCACGCGCCAAAAAAGATAGCCTCGGTGGAACCATGGAACTCACAAACCGGATGGGGCTCCCAGTGTCATCTGAACCGTTCGGGCGTTTATATCCCTCACTGGAGCCGGACAAACGCGAAGCATCCTTTACATAGGAAGTGTTTCCGGCTAAGGAAACATCTAGAACTGTTTTGGACTTGGTTGGAAGTTTTCAGGTCAAAACAAAGCCAGAGTCATGAATGAGGGTGAGAGTGGGTGAGAGTGAAAGTGTGAGAGTGAGAGTGAGAGTGAGTGAGAGCGAGTGAAAGTGAGAGAGGGTGAAGTGTGAGTGAGAATGAGAGAAAGTGAGAGTGAGAGAGTGAGTGAGAATGAGGAGTGAGCATAAGTGAGAGTGAGAGTGTGAGGGTGAGTGAGAGTGGGAGTGAGAGTGAGAGTGAGTGAGAGAATGAGAATGAAAGTGAGAGTGAAAGTAAGAGTGAGAGAGAGAGTGAGAATGAGAGTGAGAGTGAGTGAGAGAGAGTGAGAGTGAGTGAGAGAGAGTGAGAGAGAGTGTGAGGGTGAGTGAGAGTGAGAGTGAGAGTGAGTGTCAGTGAGAGGGAGAGACTGAGAGTGAGAAAGTGCGAGTGAGAGTGGGGGTGAGCGCGTGTGAGTGAGAGTGGGCGTGAGAGTGAGATAGTGAGACTTCAAGGTCCACAAAGAACTGCACCTGCCACGATTTCTGAAAACCAAAAGTCACGGTTCACTGCGCCTGTCAGGAACTCAGAGCGCCTCGAAGATCACCACCATGTCCAAAGTCCAAAGTGCTGCACCTGCCACGAAATCTACCGTTCGAAGTACAGCCGCTCCGATCCCTTGCACCTGTCACGAAGAGTCGACTCTGCACCAACAAAGCACGAGGTTTCCCTTGCGCCTGCCACGAAAAGTGACCATCATGTCCGAAAATGCGCACGGAACCACAACGAGGGCGCAGTCGGGACAAGCACCCGCCGCGGCCCACCAGATTTTGCCACTTGGAGGATTTCGAGAGGCATGAATGTACTGTAAATAGCAGCGAATTAGCCGGACACGTCGGTGCAACACCTCGATTAGAAACCGGTGCTTAACCCCTATGCCATAAGAACCTCTAGTGTGACCACACTGTTTGGAGAAAAACATAGTTCAACAGCAAGCGTCCGAATCCAGCTCTTGGAAAGATGTTGCTACCTCATGGTGATCATACTTCTGGGATAATGATACTAGTTGACATGAATTTCTGACCACTCCTGCCAGTCGCACACGTTACATTCACCGCTCCTCATGCTCCAACGGCGCTCCCTCCACGCCGAGTTTGGAGACAGATGGCGGCAGGGCTGCGTTCGCCGCCACACACGGGCAAAGCGAGCTGCAATGCTCAAGCTTCAACTCGTCCATGGCAGAGTCCACGTCAACCTTTGGCTCGTTGGGCTCGGGTGCGGGGACCTGGGCGGCGGAAGTGGTGATGTGGGACCTGAGCGTCAAAAAGGGGCGCAGGAGGAGGTGGAAAGGTTGGCCTGCTGCAGAAAAATAATGATCCGGCGAGTTCTGAAGCTCAAACGCGTGGACTTTCCTATAGCTCCTCTCAACATTCCCAAAGCTTCCAGCCCAGTCCGACTGCCAAGACACCACTTTTGAGAAGGTCGTCACGCTGGCTGCACAGCCCATGGCGAAAACAACGGCCCAGGGGCTTTCTGAGCCTGAAACCTTTGCAGCCTGATCTATTAAACAAGAATGGAAGCCTAAAGGTCCAGTCTGACCCCACGAAAACCCGGTTCTTTGTGTCATTGCACTTGTGCTTTCGAATGGTCAACCTCCAGTAAAACAAGGTCAGTTCCTGACCTCATACGGGGTTAAGGTGGTTGCTGGACCATCCAAGGAAAGGTGTATATCAGCATAGCAGAGCACTACTTCGATGCAGGCTTCAGACGCAGGCTTCAAACCAGCCTCCTGATAAAGATTCCCTCTTCTTCCAATGAATCACCGACTTGTGATCCATCCATTTCCCTCCAACGGAACAATGCTTCGAAGACCATTTCATAAGTCATCCATACTCGAAAACTCGCAGCAAGGACCGATGTCTTTCGATCCATCGAGGAACCTAAGAGAAAGCCATGTCGGCACAACATGGACTGGTCACCATGCTCTCTTGTATTCTCTTGTTGTTTTTTTCCATGAAAGCATTTATAAGCATATGTAATCAAACCAGTAGAACTGCCCTGTCTTAGTGGGGAATCCCCCAAACAAGCTTAAAGCTTATCCACTTTTCCAGGGTAGGCTTGAGGGCGTGAGGTCAATTCTTTTCTCCCCTTATGAGAGACTCCCCACAAAAGCCCAGGTTCAGGACACGAAGCAGCTAGCGCACGGGAAAAGTCATAACGCTACTCTGACCAAAAGCCCTGAAAACGAAAATAAACTGAGGCCAGGTGACACAACCTCCGGAAGCTTCTTGATACCTTGTTTTTGGCAAAGACCATCGAACCTTCAGGAAGAGCGAAGACGCGCCGAAGACGAGGCGCAGCCATTCGCCGATTCCCGTTGGTGATGGATCCCTGCGATTCCCCACGGTTTCCACCTGACCTGAGGAAGTAGAGATGGTCCGCTCATGTCCGCTCCGAACCGGTGGAAGAAGAACCGGTTTTCCGGTCCGTGAGACGTTTGCGCCCTACTCCACCCAAATCGTCCGATCCTCGGGGACCGGGTTCCAGCTCGGGACAGACCGGATCCAGTCGTACCAGTACCTTCTCAGGTCCGGTGAGCAGGGTACGCCGATTCATGTGGGGCGCCGGTGCCGACCGGGTCGGGCCCAGTCTTAACGTGCCACGGTGCCACGGTGGCAGTGGAGCCGATGTTGAAGCCGATCCGAGTTGACGAGCCGATCTCGGACCTTCTTTGTTCAGCTCCCTCCAAGGAGCGTACCTGGAGTCTCCATGAGTCTCCAAAATCTGACCGTCGACTGACTTGACTCTGGTTACGTGGTGATGTCCCCCAGATGACGAACTGGATCGAAGAAGGTATGTTGCAGCAAGGAAGTCCTGTTCTGTCTATTTGGGTGTGACTGTGTAGATGCATCGCGACTAGGTGTTCGGACTACAAACATGTGTTGAAAACGCATAAAAGCTGAGACCAAACTTAACCTAAACCTGAAGGAAAAAACATGAGGTTGTCAAGCCAAGAAACAACCGGAGCAAAAAAAAACATATGCGTGCACCAAATCTTGTCAACGATGCAGCAAAAAAAAAGGATGCACCTAGGTGTCCGATGGAAAAGCTTCGAACAACGGACGCAGAACAACACCTGCTAAAAAGAACTTCCCAGACGCTCCGTTCACAGCCCCTGGTCCATCTTGGTCCCTCAAAACCGATCGGGATTGGTTCGACCCCAAACCCCTCCGGATTCGGGTCCGACCATATCGGGTCCAGGGTCGCGTCTGGGTTGAGCAATGTGGACGAAATCAGGTTTGCACGGAAGTTCCATGTTCAAGTGTCCCTCAAAATCTAGGAACCAAATCTTGGTGCGTGAGCTATCCTGCATCTTTTTTGTGGCTTCCAGTAACCGTACAGGTTTGCCCCTTACTTGATCAACCAGGAGCGGGCTTAACAAAAAGACATATCCGTCTACGGCAAGCGAAAAACCTCTCCGTTCGTCTCATGGGTTCACCGCTCCAGTCTCGTGTGAAAACCGGGAGGCGACGGCATGCTCGAGTGCGGGGTGTGATCGAGTGCCTGTGTATCTACACCAATATAAGATAAACAAATGAACGGGTTTAAGTCCAAAAGAATACTGATTCCAGGACCCTCCAAGGGGTGTCCAATGAACTACCCCACACTACCTATAGGCTTCCATTGGGCACCCCTTGGAGGGTCCTGGAAGGAATTGTTTAGCCAGTCCTGAATGACTGGAGGACTTTTCCAGTCTTTGGATGTTGAAACATGTTATAACAAACCCACAACACCATCCATCCTTCATCCACTCAACCTGTGCTGATGTTGAACAAGGACCCTACATTCTGTCCATGACTTCTGCTTAAACTCATGTTGGCCCAAGGGTCTATGCCAGGCGATTTAAAGGGACCTTCTGCTCCAAGCTTTCCCCCTCCGGAGACGGGTCCGGCCTGCCACAATTCAGCACTTTGGCAGAGACTAAGCCAGCCTCCAGGCGGCCCACGTGGGCGGCGAGAGGATGGTTGTTGGTGTTTGAGAAAATGGTTCAGCTACCAGCACCGACTTCACAGGTCACCAATTGAAACCTGTTAGGGCCTTTCCCAAGCCTCCTGCCATCGGAGACCTGTTGGAAGGTGCTGGTACAAGGTTGCTTAATAAGGGTTTCAAGTTGAGGAGACGAATGGACCAGAGTTTGGGGATTCTTGAAGGACGTCCCGGTTTCGAGGATGGCAACCTGCCTTGAACCATGTAAACACTGCCTGAAATCATGGTTTCGTGGATGGCACCCCCGTGTTTGGCATGGATGGATTTGGTACTCCTGTTGAAAAAACAGAACATACCTGAGTCTATGATGTATATGCTGAGCAAAAAGGCGCATCCTCCACCTGTTCCCCCCAGCTCTGAGCCCAGCTCGGAAACTCTTTTTCTTTCGTGTCTTCACGGGCGTCTCAACTGGCCACCGCAGCGGGACACGAACGGAAAACCCACGAACGGAACCAAGGGGGCACCGCTGCTCCTATAGGAGCTCCTGTCCTTCGAGCCTTACAGAACCATGGCGTCGTGACAGAAATGACTTCCTGGGCAGCTCACTTCGGCCACCCAGCTGTAGAGAGATGGTATCAGCTGGAGATCCGGTTTCAGAAGTGCGAAAGGGACGAGAACATCCCATCTGTTTCTGGTTTTTGGTGCGAGCTCGGGAACTCCAGGTTGGTCCGTTGACGTCTTCACGACTGTGATCTCCACCTGGGAGGATGTCCCTATATAGGTGTGCTATGGTGTCCGGTGTCCATTTGTGTCTCCCAACACGAACTCTCTTGGCTCACACCCCTGGTTCAAGCAACTGACCACTGTGCAAACACACAACCTCGATTTCAAAAGGTAAAACACACATCTGGCTGACTGGCTGATGTCTGAATATCTGAGTTTATTATACTCTTGACTCCCCCACATTCCCCGCATTGAGACAAACACTAAGCTCGCCCTCCCTCCACAAAGAAATCTGACAAACACCATCAACAATCACATCGCAACAAACACCGTTCCAGTTCCGAACCTATTTGTGCAAGGAGATCGGAACCACCCCTAATTTATACAGTGTATAATGCGAGTTGAAGTTCCAGTCGGATGACCAAGGAATTCGACAGGCTGCATATCCCAAGTCTTGTCTACTGGGGTTAGCATGCAGGAAGTTAAGGCATTATTTCAAGTTTCTTGGCATCTAAAAACACCTTGAGGCTGGTCAAAAGACCTTGTGAAGGAATTTGCAAAACCATGACATGATGTGGCGTAGATAGGTAGATCATGGTAGATCTATTGCCCCTCACCTATGGGTTGCAGGCGATCGAATCACCATGTGTTTGGTACCACTCTTTTGGAGGGAGTGCCCCTGGGCTATAATGAGTGTCGCAAAGGATTCACCAAATTGCCTCACTTGATCTAGAAACATCGGCCAAACCAACAAGCGTTCCACCCAGCTCCACCCAGTTGGTGTGTTTTTGGGGGGGTCGATGAGCCACCCAGTTTCTGGGTGCTGCTGCTAATCAACTCATCCAGTGTACCACCGAGAAAAAAAAAAACGACATGAAAACACGACATGAACATCATTAAGCCACTCTGCAGCCCCAGAAATCGATCCCAGGAAGTCAACTCGTCGATCCGAAGAAGAGCTTCTCCAACCGCCCGCGCCTTCGCCAGCTTGCGAGCAAATTCCGTCATGGCCTCCCTCAACTCCTCGCGCCGAACCCCAACGATGCCCGGTCCCACGTGGGTTCGGTGGAGGTCGGTGAAATCGCGTGAGAGGTCCGAGGTTCTTGGGTCCGAGTCGGCATGAAAACTCACCAAAAATGACCTCTCTGGAGATGTACTTACTTTCACCATCTTGCCCCAGTTCCGGACCCATCCCCCGAATTGTTGCAAATGTCTGCAAAAGTTTCAAGTATGGAGTGTCTGGGAAGATGATTCCAATTTGCGCGTTGGGGTGCGCTGATGAGGTCTTCTGGTTCGTCCAGAGTGCTGGTCATAGGATCCTCCAAAAGCAGACTAAACCGATGCACCAGAGCGGTGGGAGATCCTCCTGGAGCTCTTGACCAGTAAAAAGGGATGGGTTTTGGGAGCTTTTTGAGTGGATGTGACGGATGTGACTCACCCTCCGAAACGAGCGAAAACGGGCACGGCAGCAACGGGGCGACTCGGTGAATTGGTTGCTACGTCCATCTTCTGAAAGCCATGGGCTAGGGGTATGTATATCCACATCTTTAAAACGGTCCCCAACAGTTCCCGTGGAAATATAAAGAAGACAAAAACAAAAAAGCAATCGAGAGAGAGGCAGTCGCTTGTCGGCGATTTGTGGAGCAAAGTGCTCTGGGAACTTCGTTCCAACCATATTTTAAAGACAATGGTTGACCTGGTTTTTGTAGTGTAAAATCCTTAGTTGATTCCGTAAAGCCTAGTAAATCTAAATTAATGATGGTTGGAAGCCTAGGGAGTATATGTACCTGGAACCCAGACATGACCTCTGTTTTGATAGGAAAAAACAATCCTTTGGCTTGTTGGTGATCCAAAATAGAGGCCACTGAGGTTCTAGCTATTATGTACATAACCCAACAAATTCATGATAGGGATTGATAGGATTGGCAGGGTGTAGAAACACCCTGAAAAGAACAGCTAGAGTCGCCTGCAGGCGCCCCTCCTGATGAACGAATCAGTCCGGAGCATATACTTTCTTGCCCAAACCCTTCGCGATTCTCTTCCCTTGCTTCGCTTGGGCGATTTCGCCCAAACCCAGACATACCCAGACGAGATATCTGACCCGTGGGGGTCCGCAGGGGAGTCTCCTGCATGTCAAAGAATATCCTGCATCCTGGCCACCAAGGCTGTTGAGCTTCATTCTGCTTCATGGATCTTCATGGATCTTCATGGTCCGTTTCGTCCAGAGGCTGTTTGAATCTGTTGAACTACCCCCCGGGCCCTTTTCGGTTCACCCTCGTTGTCCTCCACTTCCTGTAGGTTGGACTCATAGAAGAGGATCACCACGTTCCTCGTTCGGCCACTCGTTCGGCCACTCGTTCGGCTCGTGAGGAAGCGAACTGGTAATACGGTCCGGTGGACTGGACAACTGGTAATACGGTCTACGGTGCAGACGCGCCGGCGGAGCGCGGCAGCCAAAAACCATCCAGGCTCCAGCCGACAGGTTGCAATTGGACGACGGTGGTTTTTTTTCGTATTTCAAACAAGCAAATGACACCTGCGACCAGGGTGCTGGCCGTTGTCCTCCCAAGATCCATATGGTGTTTTAAAATAGAGAGACCGTCTGTCAGACCCCCTGGAAGAAGGAAATTGGAAGAAGGTGTATTAAAATACACACCCAGATCCATATGGATCGGTCTTTTTGTTAAAGACCAGCTGAACTGGAAGCGTGGGGAAACAAAGATCAGCCGTCATCTCCGAAAAGTAAAAAACGCCTGAGACAGCTCGAACATGTAGAGAAACAAGGGGAACAACTAAGGGTTTCTGGGCAGCTGTCTGGTAGGTGCCTCTCCACTGGAAAAAAAACATCGTTCAAGCTTTGAGAAACTTGAATGGATCATTTTGGTGTGGGTCCAAATCCTGGGACGTTGGAACTACTTTTTAAGTATTTTTTACATCTCCAATGGCAGGCAACCACTGAAAACAGTGGAATCGGAATAATGTTTTTTTTGGTGTGATCACAATCTGAGAGGTCATGTGTACTACTTGGCAGTGACATGGACTTCATCCAAAATGTCAAACTACAGTGGTTTGGAGGTTTTTTTGGGGCTTGGACCCACACCCGTGCGGACTCACAATGACCGCGGGACCAACGCCTCCGCAGGCCCTCTTCTTCCACCTCCGCCTGCGATTCGCATGCGCTTTTTCAAGCGATTCGCATGGCGGAGTTCACACGAAACGAACTCAAGTGCGGGGGAAAGGCGTAATTTGATACAGTGAGAATTGAATAACAGACATACTCAAACGATGAATGGTGGCGCAAATATCTCGACATGACTCGTGGCGCCGGTGGTTTTCACGATCGGTTAGATTTACCATGGATCCTTTGGGCAATGAGTCATTTTCCTGTCAAATGCCTCAAAATAAAAGCACTTTCCTTCGACGTTCGAGTAGCGGGTCGGTCAATAAAGCGCGCTGCCTTGCGTGAATTACTTGCATGTCCCATGTAGTCGGGGCCGTGACTCACCAAAAGCAAAGCAAAAAGAACCCCACGTGCACACACCTCCGCTTCTTTCCCTTACTTCCCGGAGCCCACAAAACACCGCTCCTTCCAATTTTTGGATGACAGCTCCTGGACGTCTGGCCTCAGCGAAAGTGGGATTTCTGACGCACTGAGCCTGCAGGTAATGTGAACTCTCGACTCATCTCCCATATGAGGTTGTACAATCCAAATTACATATTATGCAAAGATATGCAAAGCAATTGATCAACAGTTACTTAACATGACAAAAAAAGACAACTAGGTTGCGAACAAGGCTCTACCCCCAGACCCCCAGAGTTAAACGAGAACCCTTCGCTACGCATTCGGGAAAAACTGAAAAGTAGGAGTTCAGGAACTCAGCTGAAAAGGTCCGGCACCGGCATCTGCATCCACCCTCCAGCCTCCATTCGAGAGTCCATCCCCGACCGATAATGGCCGTCATCCACAAATGAGAAAACAATGCTAGGGCGATACATGCCCATCCAGGATCCAGTCGTACCTTCTCAGGTACGGTGAGCAGGGTACGCCGATTTATGTCGGCGAGGTCCCGGGTCGGGCTGTTTCGTCGTACCGACCCGTTTCGGTGCCACAGTGGCGGTGGATCCGTAGGGATGGTTGTTCCACTGGGCATGGGACACGGTCGGGTTCGGGTTCGGGGGTCTCAACACTTCCAGCGCCAAGCCCCTCGCCTCATCGCAAACCCCGACCGACACCTGAAAGCTGGTTCAGCCCGATCTAGCCGATCTGTCACTGAAACGGTGACTAAGATCTTGGCACATCTTGGAAGAGAAGCTTGTTACCTGAAGGCACCAACCAAATCGAGGAATCGTTGGGTGGCTGAGACAACCGTCCTTTTTCATCCCGCTGCGGAGGGTCGCCTCCGAGTCGCCTCCCATGCTGCTGCCAAAATCCAAGTGATACAACGTCCAAAGAAGTCGAGCGAGAGAGAGAGAGGGGGAGAGAGAGAGGGAGGAGGAGAGAGAAGGAGAGAGAGAGAGAGTGCTTGATGAAACTCCTAGGCCCTATAGGTCATTTCCCCAGTGTGCATGAAGAAGATCGACACTTGCTGGAATCATCATGGGCCAACATGGATGGTAGGACCTGCTATAAAGGATGACCATGTTCCCCTCTATAGAATTCAGGTGATTGTCCACTTCCATGATGGTTCTATTGAGTATGATGTTCCAACCTCTTTGACATGGGTGATTTCAGTCATTCCAACCGTCTCCCATCAAAGGATATTCCAACAGGCCAGTGAATTCGACCTCATTATACCGGGGATTGATCATACCTGGAGTCTCAGTTCATAACTCGCAAAATGTGTCTTCAAGATTCTTCAAGTACCTGGTTTTGTGGCCTCATGTCCTGCTAAGGTACTGGGTCAGTCGGGTCCGGGTATACCAAAAACACCTCCCAACACTCGTACACTGAGGGTTTTCAGGACCAGGCCCACGGGTTCCACTAGTCCACTGGACCATGGATCCCATCAGCTCGACGCGCCTCTCTGCGGTCGATGACCTGGCGTCCCAACAGAGCGTCTTCCCGGGGCCGCGGCCGTGCGCCATCCCCTTTCGTAGGAGAAACCAGAAACCAACTGATCAAGCAGGAGGGCCCCCTTCCACAAAAGGGCCATTTTAAAACGGACATTGCGGCTTCGTCGATAAAACGCGTGCTGCGGTGCAAGTGAAGAGCACGTGGTGTCCCAGAATGACCCAAGATGTCCCGGACGGCCCCTCAATGCATGTCCATGAAGAGGGATGAAAGGCATGGGTCATCCTGTCTGGGTACCCCTTGGATGATCCTGTACAGAAGAATGTAAAATGACACTAAACACCCACCGCCAGCGGCGTCGGTGGTGCCACATGTGTCAGTCACCTCCACATGTGACCGCCGCTTTTGTTTGAGCCGGGGGTCCCGAAGGCGCCTGGCCCTGGCCCCTGACCATGAGGGAACCTGGCGGCCAAAAGTGCATCGCTACTAGTAGTAACTAAGGGCATTGCTACTAGGAACAAGAAGCTACTAGGGGCTCCTGGCATTGCTACTAGGAACAAGTAGCTACTAGGTTGGAGGCGATCGCCAGTAGGTTGGAGGCCATTACTACTAACAAGAAGCTACGAACGTAACAAGCGCATCGCCTTCTTCGTGCTTCACGAAGTTCAATCCGGTCCGCACCGGTCCAAAACTGTGAGGGAATCTGAAGGGAATCTGAACATGTGATGTGGACAAATCAGAACTCAGTAGTGCTGAGATTGCTTTCCTCCCGTGGTTTAAATGTCATGCTTTAAATTGCTGAGATGTGACTTCTTGTCACATATCGTTTTATTCAACCAAATAAACATAGTTGACATCCATAAGTGGCCCAATCACTAGTTACATCTCGTTGTTTCATTGCGGTCGTCACTCGATTGCTCAGCATGCAGTCCCCCAAACGGAAACTGTATCAAATACATTGCAGGGGCACTACAACGTTACTAAAACACTCTGATGTCCCCAAAGTGTAAGTCTTTGCACCAACTACCATATATGTTAAAGTGTAGTCGCCAAAATCCCTTTTGTCCTATTAAACATGTTGGCTCTAGAATTGACCAAGCAATCCGTGGTTCTCAGGAAGTAACGAACGAAAAACAAAGAAATACATGGTGTACCAAATGTGTACCAGCAGCAATGGGAACCCTGTCGACAGCATTCTCGATGGTGAATGGAGCCCATTCACCATCGAACTGCGTCGGATGTGTCGGATGTGTCGTGTCGCCCTGTAAAGAGAGTGGTCTGAGGTTTGTTTTCTTCATTTTTCTTGTGGATCCACAAACAAATCAGCACCAGTATGGGCTTAGGGTTCCTTTCACCTCAGGAATCTCCGATTTCATCCTCTGGATCATCTCCCTTTATAGGCTTTGCTCCGTCGAAGGGAACTCTGTCGACCCCTAGATCAATAACCTGGAGCTTGACCAGTCCAACATAGCCCAACAAGCCTGAGGGTCGTAGGTAGGTCAACCGGTCGGTCTCCTGGTTCACCCCCTTCATACGATACCAGACTGCATCCAGGGCCCTGTATGGGACGGGGTTGAGTACTCGTTTGCAAGTCGTGTTACCGGTTGGCACCAGGAGACCCAAGCCCCGACGTCGTTGAAGTCGGGCCAACGTGGATTGCATGGCCGACGGAAATCCGAAGACCAAACAGCTGGTTCTTCCACATCATCCTGGTGCTTCCAAGGGACCGAATTTGATCCCCTGGTTTGAGGTCACTTAGGCCTATAATATCTCACTTAGTCACTTAGGGACTCCAAAGAGGTCACTTGGAAGAAGCTGGATGATTTCAGGGAGTGTCACTCCACATCACCAGCCCACCACAGCCATTCAGTGGGGAGAGGCCAAGACCTGCCGACCTGCCCCACTGGCGCTCCGTTCACAGCCCGGTTCTTCCTCAAAACCTATTGGATTGGTGAGAAACCCCCTGACCCGAATGTTTCGGGTTCCTACCCCTTTGCCTCGTGATCCACGTGGTACCACGCTCCGCCAGCGGAAACCAACTCCATCCGCACCGACTCTAGGCGCTCCGCACCCCCCACCGAAGTGGAAGCCACCGCCACCTGCCGCGATCATTCGCGACCGTTCGAGAGGCCGAGCGGAGCATTTGGACCGCACTCGTCTGGGCAGCAGGGGGATTTGTAGAGACGCATGCCACGCTGGAAACAGCTTCAATTGGCCCTTCAAAGCAACAAAATGGGGGTGTGACGGCGTGTTACCATGTTCGAAAGCCGGTTGATCTACCATGACCCTCCACTGTACCTGTATGTGAATTGCTCATAAGGCAACAGTTTTGAAGATATCAGACGCCCAGCTAAGTGCTTTCTGCTCCAAGTACTTCAGCCATTGATAATTTTGATTGGATGCTTTTAGGATATCTACAACAATTAAGTACAGTTGGGAAGACCTTCATAGTGCTCGTCTTAGATCTAAACTGCTTGGGTGTCCGTTTGATTGATGCCACTTTTTGACCCGCGCTCCATCTGCCGCTTCTCGTGCATCTGGCGCATCTCCTCTTGGCATTGATCCTCGATCAAACGCCTTGGCGACCCGGACCTTTGAAAAAGGCCCTGGACATCATCCGCAACCACATGGGTTAATCCAAACATGTCCCATCTACTGTCCCATCTATTTTGAACCATCCTTTCCTTCTGGTTGGTTGTTTCAACTCGCTTGAAACATATTAGTCATCATTAGTCAGTCAGTGGGTTCAATCATCCCAAGTAAAGGTTGAAAAGAACCATATCCGAAACCACCACCTAGCCGCTGAGTGGCGACAGTCCGGGAAAGGCGAGCTTGAATCTGATCAGATTCATTGACTGTGAAATATCCACGCTGCCGCCAGCAGGAATGGGCGGACGGCTATCCACGGCTTGCGGAAAGATTTTCAAGTGGCATCTAAGGCATCCCCTGAATCCTCTTTGTACACCCCCTTGCTTTGTTGGGACAGTTATGTGGGGTGTCAGTTTGTACGCCCTGCACTTTCACCACGCCTAGCAAATTCCACTCGCCGACGAAACTTAGATCACTCCTTGACACCTTGAGACAAAGCCGGACTTGATCACAGAACTACACTCCATGAAACAATCACAGTTCCATCGACGTTATATCCGGAAGACGATTCTTCTCCACCGCAGGAAGAACTTATCACTCGGCTCGCGATGAACATGCTATCTATCGCTGTTCTGCTCTGATCCTAGATACCTTCTCTTAAAGTCACTAAACTGATTTGTTTGAAGGGTTGAAGGCTGGCATATGGCCAGTTCTGTCGAAACTTGACATGTTGCCAATGTGTTTTGCTTACCGAAACACGCAAGAAACATGCACCAAGCTGTTGTTGTTCACCTTCACCCCCCCCAAAAAAAGAGGGTGGGTGTGCTTGGGAGAGCACACACTAGCTCAAAACCCTTAGAAAACACTGTAAATACCGTGCAAAATGTCAAAAACTGCTCTGAGAACTAGGCAAAACGCAATTTTTTGGATCTGTCTGTGCCCAGTCTCCATGTCCAATGTCAATGACAACAAATAACAGCTCTTCGTCTGCCCACTATCAATGTGCAACACCAATGATAAATATTATCAGGTAAATCTCTCTCTGCCCACAATGAATGTAGCATCATGAGCGAATGAAGATATAATACTATACATCTCTAGATTCAATAGCTTTCCTCTGGATCTCTAGGAAAGTAGATTTCCTAGATTTGTGTATTTTCATTGAAGGAAAGCATTTGAAAGAAACACTTACATACATACTTATAGCTTTTTTAAAATACCATGACTATTTCCAGAGATCCAGAGGAAAGCTTTTGAAATGAAAGCTTTATATTTTTTCACAGAAGTGATCAGATCTAGAGGGAACCTTTTGAATTAGAAGTTTGTACATAAAGCAGTTTTAATATAGCAATGAATATTCCAAGGGATTACTTTAAACATATCTACTCAAAAACATAGTTTGTGTCTTATTCCCAGCACTCCTAGGGCAAAAAACACTGTAAAATATAGGGTTTTGTAACATGTGTGTTCTTAAACTAACTAAACTGGAATTAAAATAGAATTAGGCAAACTCAAATTAGAAGATTTCAATCACGATCCTTTTAACATTGATTGTGGAATTTGCTATTTATTAGATATTAGATTGCAATAAAAATAATTTCCAAGTTCTCTTTAAAACTCATTGTGGAAACTAGTTCTTACAATTAGATTTTAGTCAAAGTCCTTTTCAAAGTTAGTGGTGGCTTTGATTTAATATCAGATTGTGTTTAAAGTCGATTTAAGATCAATTGTGGAAATTGTGATGCTTAACTAACTTGAATTGACTTTGTATCTGTTTGCTCCCCACTACAAGGCTACATCAAATAAAAGGACTTTAACTAACATCTAATTATAAGAATTGATGTCCACCATTAACTATTAACTGAAAGTTAATTTTCACAATCAATTCTAAAAGGGTCTTGATTGATATCCAATACACAAGCAATTCAATCAAATTATGTTGAAAAGAACTTAAATTAAAATCTAAACAACAAGCAATTTCCACAATGATTTTGAAAAGGATATTAATTGACATTTAAGTAATGCCTAATTTCTAGAATGAAATATAATAGGATTTTAATTGAAATCTAATTCAAAATCAATTGCCACAATGATCTTGAAAAGGCATTTAATCGAAGTTGAATTACACATTCATTTTTCTATGATTAATCTTGAAGAAATGTTAATTGAAATCTAATATAAACATCAATTTCCCCAATGATTTTGACAATGATATAAATGAAACTTAGTTTGTAAAAAATCTACAATTAATCTTAAACACATTTTTAATAGAAAGCGAATGATAAATCAACTTCCACCAATAATTCTGAAAGCGTTTAATTGAAGTCTAATACCAAAATCAATTGAAATCCAATTTAACATCAAATTCCACCGTTAAACTTAAATGAAGCAAAAACACTGTGTTTTACAGTGATTTCTTGCAAAATCCTCTCCAAAATTGAGGTTTTGAGCTATTTTTTGAGCAATTTTGTGAGATCCAAGCCTATCCCAATTTAGAGGGAATACCAAAAAAACAAAAAAACAATAAACCAAAAAAACAAAAAAAACAATGTTTGAGACAAAATGGGGTCACTATTGGTTTTTGGATGTTGGCTGCATTTTGTGTCAAACATTGGTTTTTTGTTTTTTTTGGTTTTTTGTTTTTTGGGTTTTTTGGTTTATTGTTTTTTTGGTTTATTGGTTTTTTGGTTTTTTGGTATTCCCTCTAAATTGGGATAGGCTTGGATCTCACAAAATTGATCAAAAAATAGCTCAAAACCTCAATTTTGGAGAGGATTTTGCAAGAAATCACTGTAAAACACAGTGTTTTTGTATCATTTTTTTGCATGAAAAACATCTCCCAGGAGGACCCGTTCTGGAGGGTAAAACATCTCCCAGGAGGACCCGTTCTGAAAAAAACCGGTCGCTGCGCTCCATGTGGACACGCCGGTTGCCGTCCAAGCTGCTGGTTGCCGTCCTCCGTGGTCACAAAGACCTCCTCGGTGTCTGCGCCACCTCTGAGGGCTTTGGCACTCAAGTAGCGCCCTGCGAAACTGAGCCCGGCCACCGCCTCCTCGGTCGACCGACCGGGGTCGAACGCGGGAAGGTACGAGGCGAAGCATCTGCGTGGTGGAAGGTAGGGCTCCAAATACTTTCGTTTCGAAGGCGTTTGGGGTGGGTTTAGAGGGTCCAATCATACCTTCTGAGGAGGTACGACTGGAGCTCTAGGGAGGGGGAACCAGCGTCTTCTTCACCTACCGTGCGTGAGGTGAGGGGCAGTTTTTGTGCTGAAGAGCCATGGGCAGTTCTCTGCATGGGTAAGGGGGGCCAGGAATGATGTGGAATCCGCATGGAAATTGCATGGAAAGAGCATGTGTCATGACCTCATTTGTCATGACAGATGTGGCTTGAGTTTGAGTTCACATCTGTCTGCCAGGATTGATACATCTCCAAATCATACCAGATGAATGCGATCTTCGAGATTGGCTGTTTGTCTGAGGAAAGTTGTCCAGCTGTTGGGCTAAATTGTTTGGACCCTAACAAATGGGCAAGCTTTTTGTTTGCTTGTGAGCTCAACCACTCACCAACGGCAGAGTAAAACATGTCCTTTCCGCGTTGGATGTGGGATATGGAACAACTCAAAGCCTAAGTGGAATTGCAGCTACGGGAGGCTCTTGTCAGGTGTCTCGTGAAACAGTGGAAAAAAACACTGAAACCGTTACAGTTCTGGATACAAAAAGTGTGGTGTCACTTTCAACCCATCTGGTACCAGTAGATGATGTTACGACCCGGATGGGCAAGATCGCGTCTCACACTGACGACTGGACTTTCCGAGTCTCATAATCCTCAACTCGTCGCGCCACACCCAATCCTCGGCTGGGGACCACAAAAACCTTGCGACCTGCATGTCCCGAGCTGTATCCATCGACAACTAGAGTCGAGCACTATACAAGCAACTTCCGCAAGGCTTGGGTGTCGAATCAATGACCACGAGAACAATTCCCCTCACCAACAAACTGCAACATCATGCAACATCTATGCCGGCCTAAGGCTCAAGACCTAGCCAACACGACTAGAGTCATTACTAATTACAATGTCCCACGAACAAAGCCGTGGCATTTGCTCGAAGATGCAGGAGAACGACACAAATTGGTGTCGTCAACCAAGCGATCAGCTTTTCAGCAACGTGGAAGCTACTTTCAGAATCTGCCCCTCCGCATGACGTACAATCTTCCCAGCTTGGCACAAATCATCAACACTCCAATGACAACTCAAATGATGACTAGCTTGACAAGGTTCCAATGACGCTCCAAGGACTCCAATGACAACACTCCAATGACACTTGATGACAACGCAAATCATCAACATTCCAATGACAATGCTCTTCACATCCAACGAAACATCAATACATTGCGCCGCGCAGGTCTGTTCTCCGGACCAGCTTCCAAAAGATTCGGCTCCTTTGTCTCCTCCGCCCGGCCACGGCCAGCGCTGCTGTTGCTGCACCTGCTCCTCCGCTTCCTCAAAGAATGCGGGAGCACGGCCGCTCACACCCAGCAGCCTTTGCAACCGCCGGCGTGCGCGGCGCGCGAGGCGCTGATACAGCTCGGTGAAGTCCTCAGCATAGACCCGCCTCCACGGATTGTTCGATCTCGTCCGCCGTTGGCGATGGAGTCAGCAGGCGTCAGCAGTGGAAACGATGAACCCGACGCGATGCGACGCGTGACGCGACGCGGCGTCGGCTCTGTTCTTTCTTGAGCCAAAGTTCACTCTACCCTGGGGGTCGAAGACTATTGTTAAAATAGTCTCTGGGGGGTGAGACTATTTTTGGTTGTCATGGAGTGTAACCGCTTTTTTAAGTTCAAGGCATTCTTTGAAACGTGGGGCGTGGCCGGTATGGCACGTCTCGCAGGTTCGGATTTGACGTCGACCGTAGTCTCGGGAACCGCCTGTAGTCTCGCTGCCACAGGTGGAAGACGAGACCTCCGGCCGGGCTGAAGAGGTCCCAGCCATGGGTATAGAGCCGGACGGTCATGAGGATCTCTTCCTCGGACCGGGGTTCTTGTTGAGCCTCTGGGAGGTGACCTGAGAGGGTGAGCTGAGAGGTTCTGGAATAGTCGAACTAGGGTTCTTCAACCTCTGTTGGAACATGAAAGAACTCGCCTGAAGCTCCGGCGCTCTGTCCAGGACTAGTGAGCTTTGGACGCATTTGGCTGGCATCGAATGGACATGAATGGACAATCCGGTGTCCAGGATTCAGTTTGATATGGTCTTTGCCCACACCAGATCAGACTGGCCCAGTATTTGTGCTCAGTATCAGTCCGCCCCACACCAGATCGTACCCGTCCTTCGCCCTGCTCCGAAAGTCAGGTGTGTGACCCAAACTCCGTCCATGTTCCGCACCTGTTCCGCTGGATGGGTGCTGTTGAATGTGTAAACCAAACGCTACATAACTTGAGGCCAGAGGGGGTGAACGAAAGCTAGCCGGGCAACTCCAGCTAGCTAAGGCTAGCTTTCGTGTGACCCCTCAAACCACCCCAATGTAGGTAAATATGGCATACATGGAGTGTCTGGGGAATGTGTAAACAAAACGCTACACAACTTGCTTGCTTCCTTTTGTAAGAATCATCTGTCAGAACCGAACGACCTGAAGCCCACCTGTAGCTGGAGCTGTGCAACATGGTTTCCAAGCTGCAACTCTACTACACCTGTGCCCATATCGTTGAATCAAAGAATGTCATACAATAGCGGTGATTACAAGCAAGCCTGGTCAAAAAGTAGATCCCATTGCAGTGGATGCCTGAACTATAGCTGTACTCAAGTGTTGTATAAGTTAGACAAGAAGAGCTTCTGTGTTTCAAAGACATTCTGTTTCAAAGGAGTCCAAAGCCAGGTTGTGGTTTTCTTCCTTAGACCAACCATTGTTTGCGCTCCCGTGTTACGGGCAACGCGTCCTTACGAACGATGCGACTTAAAGGTCCACACTCACCACTCCAAGCTGTTTGGAGGTCACCAAATGCAAAGCCCCGAAGCGGCTGGTTGGGGCTTGGTGGGTTAGTCCCACTGGTGGATTGGGGGCCGACCAAAGCTAGGCCATCATGAAATTCGCCCAGTGCACACCAAAGAAGAGCATCAGCAAGCCTCAAGTCATCAGCAGTCGTCGAAGCTTGATGACTTTCGACGCATTCATTCCCGAAAGGCCCTCCCACAAGAGGAAAATAGGCCATCGCTGTAGTAGGGGGTTTGGAGGCCATCGCTGTTAGGTGGGAGACCATCACTCTTAGGTGTCTGCATGTCTTGTTTAAATGTTTGATGTCTAAAAACACTTTGTCTGGTAACTCTTTTCTTTCTCTCCCAGAAGCCGGTTGAATTTGGGCTCGAAGCCGGTCGTTTCAGGTCTTCGTCGTCCCTTTTCTTCACTGCGTCGACCGTCGTCGGGTACCAACTGGGTGGGGTGGGCACGTCGGGTCGGCACCGGGTGTGGCACGTGGAAGTGGAATCGACCACTCGAATTCATCGAGAGGTCTGTCTTAGTCAGTCCCAAACGCTCCATGGCCGCCCGAGAAACGGGCAGGCCAGGGGTGGTTTTGGTCAGGCGTAGATGGCAGTCGCATGGAGTGTCCGGGAGTCCGGGAATAGAGTCATGCGGCATGACTCATGGCGCATGACAAGAACAAAAAAAAGAAGGGTGCCAGGGTTCCTTCAGAACGAGACCCTCAGAACTTCAGAACGAAAGACCCTATATATATGGAAGTAGGACTTCTTCCCGTCACATACACTCTGAGAGGGTGATCAAAGGCAGATGTAAGCTTGCCAGGGTTCCAACCACTTCTTCCGACTCCCTCAGAAGGTTCGGAAAGTTGACCCGTCTACCCAGCCAGGGCCGAGATTTCGGGGGTCTGTTTTGCAAAAAAAAATATTACACACCCACATGCCACTTGGAACATCTGTGAGACAAAACTCAAAGTATCCGATGGTCCCACACGGCCAGCTTGCGATCTGAGTCTTGCCCCTCCCAAACCTTCCACTACGTCAGGTAGTCAAAGGGTAGGAACAAAACACCAAAATGGACCAATTCATGGTAGATCCAGAAAAAACACCAGTCTACAGGGTAATGAAACGCGCAGAAAAAACTCATCTAAACTCGAGTTATATCCCTGGACCTTCGTCCGGAGTGTCCGACCATCTGGAGATCCCCACCGAAACCAGGCGAAACCAGCCAGGTGAACCGACCCAAACGAGTCAAGAAGCTGGGATCATAGGGCACTTCCTTCAAGACCTTCGCCGAGCTGAAGGAGAAGTGCGCCGACCAAAAGTGGCTCTCTCTGGGCCTGGGGGGCGTCACGGTCCGACCGAAGCCACCGCGGATCACCGCCGTGGCACAGTCGCACCTGTGGACTGTTTCCCAGCGGATGACGGTCCATCGCGCCGGGATGAAATCTGGGGTACGGCGCGGGGGGTTAGGTCTTGCACCCCAAACGCAACGACTCTTGGCAATCCAAAGCGATACAACTCATGTGAAGCGCAAGCTCCGCTCCGCTCCGCTGTTGACGAGTGGCTCAAGCCAATCCTTCGCCAAGGACCTGTATCGGATGTTCAAGATGTCCTCAGTGTTTTCCAGGAACGGGTGGATGGGACCCGCCTCCATTTAAAGAACTTCACACTGCATGCAGAAGCTGCTGTTCAACCATGAGTACACAAAGAAGAAACTCACTGCTCCTTCAAGTACATGGATATGTCACAAAGCTCGTGGTTCAGGTGTCTGCAAGTTTCAAGTATACCCCAGACGCGACTAATGGGACTGCCATATATATATATATATATGCCGATCAGGCCAGGGGTGGTGCCAGGAGGGTCAATGGGGCGGCATATATTCCATTCCCATGGAGTGTATGGGTACAGCTTCATTGGATCCTCTTGGGCCGTTACACATGTCTTTCATTCAGCCTTCTGATGGGTCGAGCTCGCTGAATGGAGCGAGATGCTCTTTCACAACGGAACGACAGGCGTTCACCACGATAGAAGAGTTGCTTTTCTGTAGACCAGTAGGCTGCTGGCTAGAAGATATGGCTGTGAGAAGCGGTAAAAAATGTTCTTTAGACCATCCAATTCAGTAAATCTACAGCACCTCAAGCAAAACCAGGTGATGAAGTGAACTCTGGGTAGGTCGGGTGAAACATCTCTCCGCCGCTTTTCCACTCCCATTGCACTCCCAGCGCGAACAACAAGTCATGGTGCTGGGTGATCTCAAGCACGTTACGTTGGGGATTTTAAGCACTTGTGGTTTGGATGGCGATACCAACATCCAGTACTCCACACACACACAACCAACAAAAATGCAGCTATCAATTACGAAGAGACCCACATGGAACCTGAAAATGGGCCTTTGGACTAATTAGCAGAAGCTCCACCCATGTTTTCGTCGTTTTCGTTGTGGCGTTCATCCGGTTTGTTCCGGTTCCATGTGAATCTTGCAAGGGAGTATGTCTCTTTCAGCTGCCACAAACCTTAAGGATCCCATGCACCCAACCTCCTGGCCCAAGCGCGGGTCCGACTTCAAGCCCTGCGGTCCGACTTCAAGCCCTGCGGTCCGACTCTGTTCCAAAACGCCGGTCGTTGGGTAGCAATCGAAGTGTTTTTCCAACTTGATGGAGAACCAACGGATCCAAGATCTGGTCTGGCTTCCTTATCCCTACACCTCCAAGTACTGTACCTCCTCAGAAGGGATGACTGGACCCCTCCTGGCACCCACCCCAAAGCCCCTCCTCAGAAGGTACTTGGAGCCCTAGGGTTATAGCACAATTGTCAAATTGGGGTCATTTCACCTTGGCCTTTCGGAGACCCGTCCCTTCTCTTTTTTCGGCACGGCGACTCAGGAGAGCATTTCACTGGGAAACGACGACCTATTGTTGTTCCTCCGTTTGAACCCAAAACCGAAACCTGGCGGTGTTCAGTTCACAGCATCGTGTTGATCAAAGAAGGCCGCACAGTTCAAGCAACCTGTGATCGAGCCTGTCGAGCCAGTCGAAGCTGTGACGATGCCGGACGGGGTTTCTCCGGTCCACCGGTCAACGGATGCAAATGAAAGGACCCCTTTGTCCCTCACTCACCGGAATAAGCCATGTTTTAAATTGTTTTACATCTCCACTGGGGCGTGATGACCCGGGTGGGGATTCAACAGTCATCAACCGGAGTTTTGAAGGGATGTGGTGTGGGAAATCCTCGGCTCCGAGGAAAAACAAGTGCTCCACTTGCTCACGCACCAGAGGGTCGGAGCAGGCCGTTCCACCCCAAACTGTTTGAGGAGTTGTACTCGAAAAACGCTCTTAGAAGAATCAAGAGTCTACATTAAGATATCTTAAAATACATTCACCTACTTCAAAACCACTCAAGTTGTTTTCAATTGAGACACTTCGGGATAGCCAAGATCCTCCATTATAAAATCACCAGACTTGTACTTTTCCCCTGCAAGCCACTGATCAAAGACCATGGTGTTCAGCTGGCTTCAAAACATATATTGAAAAAACGCTTTGTGACACCACCACGTCATGTTGCATCACCAAGCACTTATCTCAAAGTACGTGACATCTCCACGTTACACTTGACCGCAGCAAAAATCATCACACGCCACATTGCCCTATGGCACATCACATGCTTTATGTGACAAATCCTCACAGAAACCTTTGCCCGAAGAATATATTCAAGGGCCTTACCAAAAAAACTTCCTGCATCGCTGCATGGTATAGTATAATTATAGTTTAAATTATATATATATATATACGTTTTCCACACACCCCACGAACCAAATCTTTTCAACTCTTCTTTGGATGTGCACACACATGCGGCCCTGGTCTTTACCGTCCACCAAAAATATCGAATGCCGAAACAACATGTGCTTCCCATGGGTCATAGCACCGCCCCCGGTGCTTCGGGTGATTCGGGCTACGGGTGCCATGACCCACAGACGTCCGTCTTCCATGCTGGTTTGGCAGAAGTGGATGATGCTGGTTGTGAGAACATTGGATATCGCATACCGCATACCTTCAGTCTTTGACTCATTTGCCTCTTGTATTGAGCATGTTTCATAGCTCACCCAGGCATATGGGTTTCCTACTGATCAAGCATCCAAAATAGATGCAGATGGTCGCCATCAATAGCGAATCCAAATACAAACAGTACCCTCTGCTGACAAATTCGCACTGTTTTATATTGGAGGGAGGGGAACTTCATATTGTAAGGAGAGGAAAGCAGGAACCGTCAGGAACCGTCAGGAACATGGCGTTTCAAGCTGAGGGCCCCATGAAAGGGATCATGACTGTCTACACAAGGGAGAAACCATCAATTCAGCCAGTCTTGTATGTTCACCCCACGGTCGCGATTGATCTAGGAGACCTTTTGCTGACATGTGCTTCAGCCTCTATAAGGTCTGGGACAAAGCAACAGTTGAACATGAACCATTGCACTCTACCCCTATGTTCATCTGTCCTTTCAAGTACAGGACGTCAATTACAAAGCCTTCGTTGCAACTTTCTGCGCTTGAAGCAGCCAACAAAACTTTGGTCCATGCAAGACATCCATCAACTCGCTTGTGTCACCCCAAAGCAACCCTCAAGGACTCTCCATTTCGGCTTGTTCACGGTCCAAGCATTTTTGTATAAAGCGCGAGTTCGGAGGAGCGGAACAAGAACGCTTTCTATACCTGGACCCTCCTGTCGGGGTGTGGGTGTGCTGGCTGGACTACCCCACACGACCGGCCGAAAAAGGCTTCCAGACAGGGCACCCCGAAAACGGAGGGTCCTGGTACATGTCCCAGACACTCCATGTATAGCATATATGCCTACATTGACCCCCCAAACCACCCCAATGTAGGTAAATATGGCAGTTTGATGGAGTGTCTGGGTGTTATGGGTGTTCCCACTTTTGTTCAGATCAGGTCTGAAGCTTCGGGGCCACAACGTCTCCCTCTCGTTCGATACGCACAGAAGCGACGTAGGTGTCTGGCATGTAACGACTTGGGGGGGGAGGTCTCGACGGGCACAACTGACGTTGGGGGGAAGGCGTACGAGAAAACATTGGTGTAAACGCGGCGTGGTCACTATACCCAGACACTCCATGTATGCCATATTTACCTACATTGGGGTGGTTTGGGGGGGTCAATGTAGGCATATATGCTATACATGGAGTGTCTGGGATAGGGAGTGAGATGATTGACGGTGCTCCTTGACTCCTTGACGGTGACGAGTAGATGGTGGTATCGATAGTCTGTGGCACACCTCACGTGGCGACATCACCGTGTGATGTGTCGGCACATGCCGTGCGGCCTTGACCACGACGAAGGGTGTCGCACCATTCGGTGGTTTACACCACGCCGGTGTCGCTGGGTGTCGCCGGATGAGGGTCCGGGAGGCGCAAGGGGTTGTTGCGTCTAGTCTGTGGTCTGCCGCCAGAAGGGTCGCACGAGAGGAGCTTCCACAGGAGTCTTCCGCAAGAGTGAGTGTCCCACGCGTATCCCGCAAGAGTTTTGCGTGAGAGTGTCAAGAGTATCAAACAATGTTTGGGACGTTTGTAGAGTGCATTCAATCTGTTTTTCCTTCACTAGGAGCAGCTCTTCGCCTGGTCTTCGCATGGTTTTCGGATTTGTATTGCGGTGACCCAGAGCCGCCCCGGAGCCCCGAGGGGTTGCGCCTGGGATCTCATCGAAGGCCAGGCCATACGGATAGGCACGGCCATAACCTCGAGACCCCCCCGGGCGGGACGTGTTCCGCCTTATACCGGACAGAGCACAGTGAAAGGAAGGCTCCCAAAAGCGGGATACCTGGACTCTACAGGTCTCCTCTACAGGTCTCCTTTCGCTTTTGCAAAACATATTTCTTACAGATTGATCTGTTGGCTGGTATCATTCGCCAGAACCGGTGTTCTTCTGTCCCCATTCCGGGCCCATTCCGAGTGATTCGAGTACATTGTTGGGTGGGAAAAAGAAAGAGACCCTTGACCCTCGGAGAGGTTTCTATTTTTTGTTTCGAAAAGCTGCTCACCCCAAGTACATCCGTCGTTGCCTGCTTAAGCTTTTTTGTTCGTTGCAGCCAGGCGGAGTCCGAAGTGAAGGCGATAACAGCTGACATTGAGCTGAACGTGGGGCCATGATGGTGCAGTCCGAATCACCGTCCAAAGTCCTTGCTGGAGTTTGGTTGCCACCTGCCTCCGAGGTGAAATGGTTCGAAGGTGCTCCCATGCATTGGAAACCCAAGCTTAGAGAACCATCTCTTATCAATCAGGAGTAGTCAACTCGAACTCTGCGCTGCATGAGCTGTATCTGGACTCCCGTCCACCCTTCCAGTTGGACACCGAGGCGCTGCAGAGCACAGGCTTTAGACACCGAGATCGGCAGTGCAGGAGCTGTTCTCGGGCCTTCAAGTCCCAGTCTTTCACAAAGCGCATGTGGCTGTCCAGCTGCCTCAGGAGCGCCACACAGCACATGAGGCTGCCGAACCTCAACCTCCAAGCTGGCGCTGTTGGGGTCGACGAAGCATATGGGAGACGTCGTTCTTTTTCGACCCGGGATCGATCGAGGTGTTCTTGAAAACCACTGGTTTTCCACGATGGTCCGTTGAAAAGAATCAAACACTCGATCCGTCTCGCGGACAGATGCAGAATGCGGACAGATGCACGCGTCCGACGCACGGACAAAAGGGATTGGCGCCAGTTTGCCACTGCAGCCCACGGCAGGCCCGGTGAAAACAGGTGAAAACTCCTGCATTCCACCCAAAAGCTGATCAAATCGGAACTCTGGGTGTCTAAACCACTAGGCAAAACGGATGGTTCTGGGACAAAAGTGGTGTCCCAAATGTTCATGTGGCAGGACAATAAGAATCAATACAAGTGGCCCTTGCCCTGGGCATGTGGATTGTGAATGATATGATTGTGTGTCAGTTTTCGCAAACCAGGAAATCAAAGTCCATTTGTCCCCATGGCCAACATAACAATACTCACGCTGAGCTGGGCCCCTAACAACCCAACGTAGGCGACAACGGAAACAGTAAAAACCAACCAGCTGTCTGATAGAAGGCCATAGCTCCCGCAAGTGTGCCCCAAACCTCATAGACACCCAATTGAGTTGGAACAAAAAACGGACAAAACAAACGCACGTTTGACGGTAGGTCAGGGGGGGGTTGAAATCTGAAGTTCAGAACATGTTTGACGAAGATATACGAAGATCATATAACCAGCTCGGCAACATCACTGAAATAGACCTTCCAAAGGCCACCGAATAACCACGGTTTAGTGTTTCCAAATCATGTGACATGACATTACAATTTAATGCATGGGTCATCCCTTTTAACAGAAGATAACAGAAGCCAGCACCCAGACCCAACAAAGGCGAGTGACAGATAAAGTTCCTCACCTTCCCACATTAGCTGCGCCAAATATCTGGCCCAGCACGGACCCCGGGCATCTTCAGGGCGCATATTGATGATCCGCAGGTGGCCCCCCTCTGTCCTGGGCTGCGAGGAATTCATGGGACTGGCAATCGATTTTGAAAAACGTGTGACCTAGTGACTGGTACATTGACTTCTTGGCAAATGGATGAGAATGAACACATCAAGCAGAGATGAGCAGTATTTTTAAAGCGAGACGTTTGGAGGTTGTGTGCAAGCATTCCAAAGCCTGGAGCACCAGAAATTGGCCATCTGTTTTTGAGCGCAATGTTGAAGTCCATTGAGTCTGCCAAAGGGTCCTATATGGCATGTGTGGCTGCCGTGACCTCAGCTTTCAGTGCAGAGTTTGCTTCGCCGAAGCCACACAGCACAAATAATTCGTTAAATGAACTCTGTCACATTGCCATAAGGCGAAATGAGACCCTCCAAGCCCTTTCCTCCAGGGCACAGGCGGTGAGATCGGTTTATGCCACAACATGAATTCTTGGGTTTGACTGTCAATGGGAGTGTGTGGTTTCTGCAGAGATCGTCCATTTGTGATTTGAGAACGACCTGCTTTGAGTTCGGCACTTGCGCAGCACGGATCAGCGAGCTGCACTGGATCTCTGAATCATGCCAGAAGATTTGCCAGATAGCCAGATAGCAGAAGATATTCCAAATAGAATGGCAGAGAGAATGCCAGAAAGGATGTCAGAACATATGCCCGTTTGAACACCAGAAATGCCACATCAAATGCCAGTTCATGTTTAGATTGTATGGCGGAGAAAAATAAAGAGGATATGCCACAAAGAATGCCAGATAGAATGCCCAAAAGGATGGCCTTGTGACACCGGCTCCGCGGGTTTTTTCGCACGTGGTGAGACCGCACCCGCCTCGAATTTTGGGGGGCGGGTAAAGCAAGCATCCCCCGGACCAACTTTGAAAACCCTTCAAGAGAAGCAAGAGTGCAAAGCCTGTATATTATCTAAAACATTCTAAAACTATACATTTATATATCAATCATAACTTATATATATATATATATACACCTGGAGTCTCAAAGTACCTCGGAAAATGAGTACAAGTACCTGTTTTTATGGGGTCAATAGTCCCATTTTCTAAGGTACTTTGGAGGGTCCAGGTACTATAATTTCAGAGGTGTCATAGAGTCATACATGTTACCATGGGATGGAGCCCTCTGAAATCATCGTACGCCAAGAAAGCATACGAACATACGAACATGGTGGTTGCCAACACCTGCCCTGGATGACAAGCTCTGAACTCTCTACCACCCGAAGCAACCAACAATCCCCACTCCGTGGGACTGCCATATATGCCTACATTGACCCCCCCAAACCTCCCCAATGTAGGTATATATTCCATACATGGAGTGGCTGGGAATGTATAACTATCCTTAGGAATCCACAAACCCTCTGAGAAGCTGATGTGTGAGACACGGTTCTGTAGGTTTGGAGGGTCCAGTCGTACCTTCTGGGAAGGTACTTGATCCAGTCAGCAAACCGTTCTTAACTCTGAGCTATCTGTGCGCGCTTTGCCCATGAGCAAATCCACTCAAAAACCACCTGAAACCGGAACTTCCCCCACCAAACCTACCCTTCTGTGCCCTTCGCCCCAGTGACAGGGTCACACTCAGCTTGCCAGTGGGCAGCGTCAGCGTTCGCTGACACGCCGCGTCCGCACGGGCGGATGACGCCGCGTCGCGCCAGAGGTGCTGGGGGACTGGCGCCTGAGGCGACTGAAAAACAACACCCCATAGAGGTCCACTACGTCTGACCTGTAGGTCCCAGACAAACCTCAGCTTGCTGAGTGGTGTTTTTACCATCAACGAGTAGCAAAATGAGGTCCAACTGACCTGTAGGGGCAGATGTCATGGAGACTTAGACAGAATCTTCTGCAAGATTCCAGGGACAGGGCGGATCAGCTGCACATTGCTTCAAGGATGAATCGCGGCAAAAATCCCTGATCGATGTGCTGGAACCTGTTTTCGATGTGCTGATTGCGTCCGTGCGTGTCAAAATACCACATGTATATGGTTGGTTTCCAAAATGTCTTTTCCCAAAATGGTGCACTCGTCGCAACTCCATGGGGGCCCGCTTCTAAATCTCCTTTAAACTTCAACCACACTTAAACCACAGGGATGTTAAACATGAAGGCATGTGAACTGCAAAAACTGTGAGAGGTGTCCAGCGCGGACTGCTGAGATGCTGGAGCTGTTGCTGCTGCTACTGCTGCTGGACTCCTGCAGCTGTTTCCACTTTTTGTTCTCAGAAATCTTCAGAACGTCATAATTAGGAAGGACGTAAGAGCTGACTCAAAAGATTTGGATGTTGGATGGGCAAATGGTGTCAAGAAATGGACCGTCGTCTAGCGCGGTGCTAGCGCGGATCTAGCGCCAGCCTAGCGCAAAAATCTCCGTCGATTTCTTTATCCTGTCAGATTTCTATTTTTCCTGCTTGCTTGTCTTCTTCTTGTTGTGCATTATTATTATTCTTCTTCCTTCTTCTTCTTCTTGGCTTTTCTTTTTTCTTGTCTTGCTTCTTCTGTTTCCTGCTCTCTGCTTGTTTCTTCTTTTTCCTGCTTGCTATCCTGTTATGAAGAAACCTAGCGCCAACCTAGCGCCAATCATGCCTTGCTGTATCACCATATTCTGCTGGGGGCCCGCTTCCAAACGAAAACTTAAAAAACACATCTACCGCCTTAAAAGTTTACGTTTATCTATATTTTTTGAGTAAGGCTTTTTGAGCGCAGTCCATCTGGTGTATACCTGGAACCTGAATGACCTCTGTTTTGATAGGAAGTTTGACCATATTTTGGGTGGTTGGTGGTCCAACAGGTATGCCTACATTAACCCCGTTTCAACCACTCCAAGGTATGTAAATTTATGTCACACACATGGAGTGTTTGGGATATACTCAGGGAGACTCAGGTGGAGTACAAAAGAGTTTTCGTTTCACCGGAAGGTTTGCCCACACTTGTAAGACAGGGCTGCCTGTGCGATGATTCGTAGTTTTGGTACTTATTCAAAAGAATCATTTATGAAAGGTAGGCATCATTGATCCTACAGATTGAAAAGGTCTTGCCGTTCCTTTCCATGGCAGTGGAGCAACACTAAGTAGTCCTTACATGTCCTTACGATAGGCCTGGAATGAGAAATCAAGACCAACATCTGCTTGCTTTCGGGGCTTGTGCAATGGTAGGAAAATGCTCCAACGGCATTGCCAGGGTACAGTAACTAAACCCACTCCCAGCGTCATGCCGAAGCTTAGCTCGTTCCATCTCATTCCCACAGATTCACCCCATGGATGTACTCCGTTTTTTCACCCAACAAGACCGTTTTCTTTCTTTTGGCCCCTAAGGCGGTCAACGGCGCGAACCCCTCCCGGCCAGAACCGGCCCGACCGGCACCAGCGCCGCCTCGCCGTCGCCCTGCCAGACGAGCCCCACGCGGAGCCGCTCGGGGACCGCGGCCTGCGCCAGCAGCGCGCGCAGCGTCGCCGGTAGCTCCGGGTCCTCAGAGCGCTGCGCGCTGCTGCGCGCTGCACCCGGACCGGTGGAACGCGGGTTCCGCGGTGGTGCCGTTTCGCCAGGGCCATGCAGTGAAGGGACATGAGTTAGGACGCACACGGTGAAAAAGAGAAAGCATGTGAAAGCAATGAAAGGTGGAGAAAACCTGTGCCACCAGATGATGGTGAGGGGGAAAAGCTTTGTGCCCACCTGCGAGTCACATCTTACAACGTGATCTTCACGTGATCTTCACGTCCTTGACCCCATAAATGACCCTGGTTGATGTGTAGGTAGCTAGTTATCCGTTGGTCTGGGAGTGAGTGTTTTACGTAAGGATTTCCTGTATTCTGCTATGTTCTGAGGCGTCCTCCAGCGTTTTTGCATGCGGAAGGCTCGCCATGGTGCAACCTCAAGTGCAACCTCAAAGCTAGGACGCCTGCTCCACCTTGACATGGTCCCTGCCCAATACACTTGGGGCAAAGATGGGCACATTGTGCAGTGTGTCATTCAAATGCAAGCTGAGGCCACTGCCATGGCCACCTTTTGCGGTTTGTCGTTGCCTGTCGCAATTTGCCACTCAGCTTGGCATGGTTTCTACACGTGGAGCTTGCAGCCATTCTCTTTCGAGGCTCGAGTCCGACATCTCGTGTAGCTTTCAGGCCCGGTCTGGCGGTGCTTCTTCATTGGTTCATGTGTTTCGCGTTGGCCTTGGAGGCACAAAGCCTCTGAAAGTAAAATGTCGGTCTGAATCGTATTTCTGGTTTGATTGATTTCACTTATGGCGAAAACAGGTGATATTCACACTGAAAAAAACTGCAGGTGCGCTTGCTTAGCCCTGGCAGCCCTGGCCGATCCGATCCTCAGTGCCAAGCTGCACAGTAGGCCACGATCGACACGAAAATGCGTCCATGCAAAATCCTCAGCATGCTGTCCCGCGCTCTACCCTTCTACAGTACTCTATGCCTAGCACTTCGACCGGTGCCCAATTGAGGCCGGGTAGGGTACTAGTAGGGTAGGGTCGGTAGGGTAGTCTAGCCAGGACACCCCAGACAGGATGATCCTGGTGGACTCTGGAAAAGAACATAAAACAGACATCCTGCCTGGACCCTCCTGTCGGGGTGGCCAATGGACTACCCCATACTACCTATAGGCTTCCAGACAGGGCGGCACCCCTTGGAGGGTCCTGGTGGAGTAGATCTGACCAGTTTCCTATTGTTGTTTTTTGTGATTTTCCCGTATTCTATCTACTCCCGGATGAATGGGTTGTTTATTGATCAACAGTCTACATGAAATCCACACGCTCCATGTTGGGGTCACCTTTTTTTCGGTCTCCCACGAGCTTTTTGCGAACCACGTGTTCTGGAGAACCAATGCAGTTTGGTTCCCTTTTGATTCAATCTGCTTCACTCCATCCGCACTCCACTGGTCCACCCTCCGGATTCCGCCGTCTCCTCTCCGGACAGTCCGTGCTCAACGCCGAAGCGGACCGCGAGGGTCTGAACCGGTCTGAACCACAGCGCACAGCG